TACCACCCACATCATTTGGATGCTTGGCGGCCCAATACCGTGCGATTTATTAGGAGTTTTCTTAGGAATCGTTTACCATCGGCGATTTTTATGGACCGATACTTTACGACTACTGTACGACTTTGGTACCTTCAAGGAACGAGTTTACTCTTTTTTAATAGGCTGGCAATGCATTTGCAATTCTCTTGGTTTTGTAGAATTATATTAAAATTTTAAAAAGAAGGCTATCTCATTGACTGGTTGTACTGGTTGTACTGGCAGTCATAGACGTTTCACGTTACAACCAACGGCCGTGGGCCCCGAACGCAGGCCCACCCGATTTCTTTATTGGTATGGGTACAGTTTCGTTTACTGTTTCACCTCCTTAATCATTGTAGGTGATTAAATCTGCATCCTGTATAATATTTTTTATCGATAGCACCTATCGTAAACGTTGTCAATTACTAACTCATTGGTGATGTTACTGGATAACAGAGGGTGCTTGTTACAAATAATGATAAATGTTCTGGAACAATCTACCAGGGATAATAAAAATTAATAATTATGGGGTAAATATACATTATACTTGCGATAATAAACCGAAATTACATTCAGTTTTTGCAATATATCGGGACTTACAATATAATATAATAATAATAATCATCTTTATTCAGGCAAATTACACCCATATCCAGTAAAATCAATAAATTTAAAATCAGTCTCCTAAATTTTAGCAATAATTAAATCAATTTCAATACAAAATAACAATTTTAAAATAATAAATCCAGTCAATGTAAATAGGCAGTAATGTCAGTATATAAATAAAATAATGAAATAAAATAACATAAAATTAAAATTAATAAATAAATAACAGAATTACACACATTTATCAGTCTGGAGACGAGATCAATAATTAAAACTTTCTCTGAGGCAACTGTGCTGCAATAAATTAAATTAAAATCAATCTACACAATTAAAGCAATACAATACATAAATCAATGTCAACAAGATAACAACTTTAAAATAATACATCCGGTCAATTTCAATAAGTATTAATGTCAGTATATAGAATAATCTAAGCAGATAAAATAAAATTAATACATAATTAACAAAAAAAAAAAAAACTATAAGAACACACTTTTATTAGACAGGAGACGAGATTAATCAATACTTTCTCAGAGGCAGCTGGTCTGCGACATGCCTTTCGCAACAATGCCGGATAATATAACCGTCTAACCTTCCTGAGATCATCGCTAAGACAGTGTTGGAGCTGGCCCGCACTCTGCGCACCAGGGACGCGGCCCGCTTGCGCATGGTGGCATTGAAGCAATCGGTGCGCGCATCCGCAAACATACCAGAGGCGCTACAAAACCGAGGCAACCCCATCACCGCCCTAAACGCATTATTGTATTGGACGCGGAGGACGCTGTAACTCTTCCTACTGTAATTAGCCCATAAGCTGCACGAGTAGAGCGATGTGCAGAACGCTCGGAAGAGTGTAACCTTGACCTCCTTTGAACACCGCGCAAACCTACGGGCGATCATGTTAGCTCTGACAGACAGCGCCCTCCGTTCCCGGTCCATATCAGCGTGATCCCTTAGGTCGAAGGTGAGTAAATGCCCCAGATACTGAAACTGTTTAACCCTTTCCAGGGGTACACCATTCAATTTTATTTTAGGTACATTATCAGGACATTTCGCACCAGCGGCCTCAAAGATCATGTATTGACTCTTTCTGACATTATACAATAATCCGTGACCACATGCATATTCCTCGCATTTCCGTATCAGCTTCCTCAGGCCGCAGACCGATGCACTCAGCAGCACCATGTCGTCTGCATAACTCAGATTATTGACACAAACACCGTCAATGTGGCAGCCGACATGCTGACTGCTAAGCGCTACGATCAGCCCGTTGATATATAGATTGAATAGGGTTGGTGATGTTAAGCCACCTTGCCTGACTCCACACTCAAGCCGATACGGATCCGACATTACCCCCGCCCACCTGACACTATTGGCCTGGTTTGCGTACCAGTACCGGAACATGCTGATAAGTTCTTGAGGCAAGCCTATGCTTTGCAGCTTGTCCCACACACAATACTTTAATGCACAATCGGACATAATTTCTTTAAAAATAATTTTTGAATTTAGGAAACGAATGCGTCTTGAGGTTTTAATGATGTCACTAAGACTAAATGACACAAATCCGAAATATATCCTATAGGACATAAGTAAGATGTGAACATTTTATTGCTGATGTCCGGTCTATTATAACTACTTAAATGTCTTTGCCTGTAGACCTATATTGAAAGGTATTTCATTATTTATTATGGAATAAGCGGTACCTTCGTACGAACTAATTGTATAATTGTTTCTGTGTCTTTTTGTGTGTATATGAATAAATAAATAAGGATATACTGAAGAGAAAATAAAAATCCATATGTTTACTTCACCTGCATGCGGTGCACCTCATGCTGACCGACTCATCATCATCATCATCATCATTACAGCCCTTCACAAGGCCACTGCTGAACATAGGCCTACCCCAGGGAATGCCACAAAGCACGGTCCTGAGCCACCTGCATCCATCGACTTGTCTATGTCTGCATATCTCACCAGGTCGTCACTCGATATAGGGAGGGGGGGGGGGGGGGGCTCGCCCTACACTTCGCCTACCGGTACGAGGCTGCCACTCGAGAACCTTTTTTCCCTATCGGTTGTCGGTTCTTCGAGCTATATGGCCGGCCCACTGCCACTTCAGCTTACTAATCCGTTGGGCTACGTCGGTTACTCTGGTTCTACTGCGGATATCCTCGTTTCTAAGTTTATCACGCAGAGACACTCCAAGCATAGTCCTCTCCATAGCTCGCTGAGCGACCTAGAGCTTTATCATACGGCCAGCAGTGAAGTAGCACGTCTCAGATCCGTAAGTCATCACTGGCAACACGCACTGGTTATACAATTTCGTTTTCAGGTTTTGAGGTATGTCTAACGAGAAGATGTGTCGTAGTTTCCCGAACGCTGCCCAGCCGAGTTGAATCCGTCGATTGACCTGTCGGTCGCAGTTGGACTTACTTAGTCGGACTATTTGTCCCAGGTAAACATAATCGTCAACAACTTCGAGCTTAGTGCTCCCAACAACTACCGGCATAGGTGTGACATGGACGTTAAACATGATTTTTGTTTTGTCCATGTTCATCTTAAGACCTATCCGTTGGGAGACACTATTGAGGTCATTGAGCATAGTGCTTAGGTCCTCCAGCGATTCTGCCATAAGGACTATATCGTCGGCAAATCGAAGGTGAGTGACTCGGATAGCCATAGTAGCTCTACTGTACAAACACTTCAGCACTTCGATACACCGACAGTGAACTTGGCACCGCTGAAGGGACTGCAGCACCGCCCAAATTTCGACGGAGCCAAAGGCTTTCTCATAGTCCACATACGCAAGTCAAAGTGGCAGATTATACTCCTCTGTCTTCTGTACAATCTGCCGCAGGGTATGTATGTGGTCCATGGTACTAAAGCCTTTTCGGAAACCGGCTTGTTCGGGAGGCTGGAAGTCGTCAAGTCTGCGTGCGAGACGATTCGTAATGACTCTCGAAAACAGCACGTAGACGCGGCTCAGAAGGAAAATCGGTCTGTAGTTCTTTAAGAGAGCGTTGTCGCCTTTCTTGAAGAACAAAACCACCGCACTGCTGCTCCACGCCTCCGGAGTAGTGCCACCATGGAGGACGGAATTAAAGATCTTCTGAAGGACTTCAAGTACCGGTTTTCCACCCGCTTTCAAAAGCTCCGCTGTAATTCCATCCTCGCTCGGGGCCTTGCCGTTTTTAAGGTGCTGGAGAACCATTCTAATCTCGCTCAGACTGACGTCCGGGATATCTTCGGAATAGTGTCGGATAAGACTCGCTCTTGGATCGTTACTCACACTTGCGTGTGGCTCCAACAATGATGTGTACAGTTGCCCATAGAACCTCTCAATCTCACTCAAAATCTCAGGTGTCCCGGAAACCATGCTGCCACACTCGGTCTTCAGCCTTGACAGTTGGCTCTTTCTGGCAGACAGATCTCTGGCAAAGATTTTGGAGCCTTGGTTCCGCTCGATCGCTTCTTCAATACAAGCTGTATTGAAGTTGCGCATGTCCCGCCGCATGCATTTGGAGATCTGTCTGTTCAGTTGCTTGTATGCTGTCAAATCTGTTGAAGAATGTAGCTTCATTTCCCGTCTAACAGCCTTGAGATTAAGCGTGTGATCGGAGAGTTTTTGTGTTCTTCTGCGGCGAGTCTTGCAACCCGCGTGTCTTGTGACCGACTGATTGCGTAAAAATCACCCAAAATACTGAACACATCTACCAGACCAATGATGAGGGGCAGCATTACTGGTATAGGCTCTCCACTCACTAACCTGTTCAGTAGAAATAAAAAAGCTGACTGATAAATAGGCAAAAATAGAAAGAGTTTCCAAGTAGCAGAGAATGCTTTTAACGTTGTAAGAGTCAAGTGAAGTCATAAACAAACTGCATATTTTTAGCAATTGTACAGAAGTTTTCAACGTAATTTTCTAGCTATTTTTAGGTTTACTAAGCGTTTCAGTACTTTTTTCTTTTGCCCTTTTTCATTCCTAAAGGATTTATGGACCAAGCTATGGATATGGACCGGTCGCATTTTATTCTAACTACCAAGCCGAGACTCGCAAAGGACTTTATAGTTCTAGTGCCAATGTTAGTGTTGGTGTACATTTGTTATTTTATATATAATAATATTTGTAATGGATCTACACTTTGTAGAATGTTAGAATTTATGTATGTATTTCAATTTTTGTAAACGCCTCCGTTACGCAATTTTTGGATACTTGCTCGTTTATAAAATATTATATTAATAAATAATGAGCATTTTAAATAAAAAGAAACTATAGTAGGTACTATAAATTAACTTGCTTTTACTGAGCACAGTAACCGCATGAGAAATTTATAAAAATATAAGATATTTTTATGAAAAGTAAATAAAATTCATACCTTCTTTGGAGCCATACTAAACCTCTAATTTGAGTAAGTGAGGCACATTATTACAATAAGATTTAAATTATTCAAACTGTTTTGTGTAACAAAACGTTTCATTAATTTGTAAATGTATTTGACTTAATATCGCAAGCAACAATTTGTAGTGCGTGCGCATAGCCTGGTTGTCATGGTAACGGAGGGAGGGCTCCCCTAGAACTCCAGTGTTCATCCCGAGGAGCAAAGTCATACGTGTTACTATATTGCCGGTTTTATAAAAAAATCTACGCTACAGCATTTTATTCTCAGTGAGTAAATCTAAAATGTTTATTTTTAATACTTAACTGTGATTAGAGTGTATTTTGCTCGTGATGGCTAATTGTTTTCGTAGGGAAATAACATAATTGATGTGTAGATAAGGTCTACATAATCAATTCTTCGACGTCTCTCATAAAAAATTACACGTAGTTGCTATAAATTACAAGTGATTGGTTGTAAATCATCATTGCATGATATCTATGTATTGCGTTTATTATATTTACTATCCACGAAAGTGGTAAACAATAAACATGTCATCTATATAAAATGTCAATTTATAAGGTATTGTCACTTTTTCTATTTTTATGGAAGAGGAGGTAAACGACCATATGGCTCCACGTGATGGTAAGTGATCATTGTCACCCATGAGTATCAGCAACACCAGAGGTGACTTTTTAGAAATATCGGTCTGGAAAAACCGCTATGCTTGACAAAGGCAGCAACCTCTTTAATCTACGCTACGCATTATCAATAATAATAATTAAAAAAAAACCTATTAAAAGTTAATAACTGCCTAAAAATATACATAATATGATAAAAAATAAATATGTATAAAAAATAAATGTAAAAAGAAAAAATAAAAACGACACCGTAAAAAAGTTTTCATGTCGAATTGTGTTGATAAAAAAATGGCTCCTATGAAAAATATGCTCAAATAAAACATATTTTAGGGTTTGCCTAAACGTGAACGAAACAATCAAGCTGGCGGGGGCGAACGAAATTCAAAATGAGCTGCTGATTCCATTGTTCTCTGAAAGGGAAGACAGTGGAATCGACAGTGACGACGCAGATCGGGAAGGAAGGGTTCGACGCGGTCATGGTGATGAAGTAAGCAAATTGTATTTTTTATCCTAACCCTTAAAAACTAATTGCTGGACTCTCCCTAGATGTGTGTCAATCGTGAATGATTCGTTCATGTGACCCGTTTGGTATCAAAGTATTGATGATTGCAATTAAATTTTTTGAACGTATCGGATCAAACGATTGACAGGACCTACGCCCAAAGAGTATAGTAATGTCCGACGACCGACATTATCGAACTATATGGAGGTCAGTGAACGGGCCTCACAGATCATAGACTACTGAAACTCGAAATAATCCATTTGAATGGTCGGTACCGAATGACTCGGTTCGTAAGACGTATCAATACTTGAATGATCCGGTCACTAGAAATTAATGAATGACACACGTCTACCTCTCATATTGTACGCACAATTGGAGACAACCGCTACGCTTGGCAAGTATCAGTCATTGGCGGTATAACCATCTGTTGGAAACTTAAGATTTTTTTGACATTTCCTATAGTCAAAATGTATCACCCACGGGACAAAATAATATTAAGGAGTCTCTTACGCCATCATCCCCAAGACATACATCCACAACGGCGTATATTTTTAATGTATAAAGGCTTTCAATTAATATTTTGAATTCGCTCTGCTTCTGGCTAGTTATAGGCTTCACGACCCATCACATTTCTCTCAGAGAGGGTCCAAGATAGGTGCGCGTTCAGACTTATTATTTCTTTTCCTTTTCTTAACATTGATTCACAACAGAAACTTTTTGTTTTACTTTCTGTAGGTATTCCATTTGTTATCGGCGTAAGGCTATAATCTCATATCATAACGTGGGTGTCGCAGGAAGCGAATGTAGAAAATGCCAGTGAGATCTAATGCAATCTGGCCTCTGGCTTCCTGACAGATATTGAAAACGCTGAGAATTGATGAATGTCATGAAACATATCAACTGTATGGAATTTTATAACAATACTGGCTGAAACCTTACGGATATGGGAATGCTTTCGCGCACGCCGTCACCGTGACAGCGGTGAGGTAAATCGTAGGAAAACTGTGCACCCCTATATCGCATATTAAAAAGCGATGGATAAATCTAGTCTCGGGTCTGTCTGATCTACTTTCCAGCTTCGAGTTAGGTTGTCTGTCGACCTCTTTCTCTGTTTATGCCTTTCCCTTTCCGCATCTTTCTTTTGCTATATCGTGTTACAAAGTTTAACAAAGTATATGAAGCTGAATTGAAAACTTCTTTATTTTTAGTCTGTGAAAAATATAGACAATAGTTTTCTTCGTGATCAAAGTTTCAATATTTATTTTCAGTTAACTGAAACAAGCAGCAGTGACGAGGATTTGGTTGTAAAGCCGCCATGCGCCAGACCTGCAGACATTAATAATTTCGTAAGTACATTTCTCTTCTGCCTAAATTTAATTTATGTTCATTCACGTTCATAACATTTTTTTATTTTTCTTCATCTTCCATCATATATGGTATTCATCGGAGCCAGATCCCACTCTTGGTTTGGTCGTTACTGTAAAATTGTATTACGCAATGAGCAAGAGTGTTACCGTCCCGGAATTTATACAGGGTTACTGGGAACTCGACAACTTCCTGGCAGGTCGTGATATGGGGGCTCAAATCGTGCTACAAATTTGAGCCCCCATATGTATAGGCCGGAAATGAACAGGTTTTGAGATATACGGAATTTAAAGGTTTTTCAATAATCACCCAGAATTTCGTATTAAATTTTAAATATATACCCTATATACTGCGCTCTAAAAAATTACAATTCCGTCTTTAGGTTCTTCAAGAGACTTATTGCCAAGGCATAGTCAGTGCATATTGGCAGTGTTGGTGAGAAATTAGTTCGCCTTCCAACGAAAACTAATGCAATTTGGTTCGGGCTGGGGGAACACACCACATTATGAGTACTCTATGCTGGATGTGTGAGCGAGTGCTCAGTACGTAATAGACTTATTTCTATCGACATCTACTAATCGAGTGGGTCTGAAGGAAGCCCTCCAATTGTGTAATAGGGTACTAAACTTTTTGACCTGGCGCTAGTTCTTACGCGTTTTTCGTGGCACTCATACTCTTAAGGCGTTGTTTTGAAATCTTAGAAGACAGATTTTGTTTATCCGATCCCTAAAAACGGTAGCTGCTACATCCGTCCAATTACAAGCCTATTGCTATCACCTCTTTATTCTCTACAATAATGGAATCGATTGTTAATTATCACCTCACGAGGTATCTCGGAGCACCAGCTGGTTGTTGATGGCCAGTACGGTTTCCGCTGGGTTCGCTCAACTGGTGACCTTATAGTTTACCTTGGCGGTTAGTTTGGATATAGCGAAGACTATCGGATGTGTTCAGCACAGAGCGGATCTTTCGAAGTTTCCTTCTAATAGGCCTCCGGAAAAATTATGCATTTAGTTCACCAGTTTTCTCGCTGATCTTAGCATCAACGTCGTAGTCGACTGTGCAGGCTCGGACGTCGTTCGATTTAACTGATATGTTGCAAATTATTATGTTATGCAAACAACTCTTGTCGCCTCAGTGAATATCGGATTCCTCGGAATCGACATATCGAGTAAGTTTTAGTTCTGCAGTCACTTGGAAGAGACGGCCAAGCTGGCCTTTAAAAAGCTTGGCGTTCCCTATCCTCGGCTGGGCTGATAATTTGACTGTAAACTTTTGAAATCCCCGAGAAGCAATTAACAAAACTTGAGCGACTGCAAAATCTTTGTATAGGGTTTATAATTGGACTTCAATATAATTGGATTCAGAATAACGCATTAAACTCAAGTGGCTTCCAATTCGTCTTTTATCAGAATACTCATATTCTTTCTAATCTCTACTGCGTTTTTATTTAATACTAGCTGTCCCTCGCGACTTTGCTCGCGTGGTATTTACTATGATTTCATGGGTTTTAATTTTTTTTGCGCGGAACCCTAATCATTTTTCTAAAATAAAAGTATCTAAATTACTTCTTATAACATCAGCTATCTGCCAGTGAAAATCTCGTCAAAATCGGTCCAGCCGTTTCAGATATTAGCCGGAACAAATAGACAGACCATAACTTTAATTTTTTTTTGTTATTAGTACCGTATATACTTTCATATGCATTTAGTAAAAAGTTGTTATCTTAACATTACAAACAGAAACTTCAAATTTATTTATTTCTATATAGTATATCTATATAGAAATAAATAAATTTGATTATCTTTATAGAAATAAAAAAAATCTTCTATACATATCAAGCCCACGCTATATAAAATATCTTGTTAAATTTCTAGCTCCTGTCATAATGTTACGGTCTTAGGCTTTCGGTCCAAAGAAAACCTCTCTCTACATTTAATGATATTATTCTTTCTCTATTCTTGGAGACAAACTTTGGAACTCCTTACCTCTGTTGATTAAACGTGGTTAATCATTACATTTGTTAAAGAAACAGGTTACAAACAAACATTACCAGTCTCTCTAACCCCTCTCCTTTCCTCCTTCCATTTATGGTAACTTATCTATCGCCTAAAGTCTTTTCATTGGATAGGTTATTATTATCCTTTGTTATTATAGTGCTCCCTACCCATATCTCTACTTCTTTTATTTAATCTGACGGTGCATCTATAAAATACCAGTTGGATCGAGAGTGACCGAGAGGTCGCGTCACTCTAGCAGAGCGTCATATCGATGGTGGCGAGGTGGAATTGAGGGTAGATCGGGAAACCTTCACCTGTTTGTGCAGTATAGAGTTCACTGTAGGTGCCGTGCGCGATAAATTCTGCCAAATTAATTCTACGATTGCTAAGACTCGTAGAATGACAGTTTCTTGGTGCTGTCCATTGCACTCTTCTGGTGCAGGCAAAGAAGATCGTGTTGCTTAGAGGCTGCCCCGTCTTACATTAAGATGGGTAATGTTGCTGTTGTTTTGCATACTTTGGTGTGATCATGTAATTACGTCCCTCATGTTAACCTACAGTATTGTATGGGCACATTTTACGATATGGTCGAACTGTAATTGCTCTATACTGAATGTGTAGTGCAGTACTCTGTTTTATTGCTAATAATGATTAATAAAAAAATATTATTGTGAAGTAATAATATAAATATAATTTCACTAAACTATTATGATTTTAGTCCCTAATAGCCGTTGGAATTATTATTATTTAAACTTTACTGTCTTATAACAATTCGAAGTTTATTGATAATCTCGAGTTTAAGCTATGGTTTAAGTATAGACTTTCTAGTTGCGCTACGGCGAAAGACATTTGCTGTCAAATTTTATACTTTACATTTTCGTGCGCATTTGAGCCGCGAGACTTCATTTGTGAACAATACTCTAATTTAAATCTGAGATACTGCTTTTTATAATGATTCGGATATAGTTCATGGCTTAATATTTATGTGTCCTTAGCCACAAGAGAATTCATTCTTAGGGTCGTGCGGGTAGGTAGGTGCAGTTGCGTAATGTTAATAAATTTATATCAAAGATAGGGATGCAGATGTGTCCAATAAAAAGGGTCTCTGGTTCAGTACACTCATACGAAACACAGCAGCATTAAGCTCCTATTTTACGCTGGTGTTCTGTGAGAGCGTGGTCCTACCCCGGTAGCATTCTGAATGATATTTGCGGCGGGATTTTCTCTTTACTCTTTAAATTCTCCCGAAACCTTTTGCTGACAAATAAATTAACCACTCATTTTTCTTATACTTTATAAAATTTGGCTGTAATTTGAGGTATTTCTATATTACGCCATGGTCATTATAGTAATATTATAAGTTATTATTACGTGACGGTGACGTACGAACTGCTGGCCCCAGGCTTCCTCTTATTTTTGAGAAGGTTATTTAAGCGCTAAGCATTTGATAAATCTTGCTCAATTGCGATTAAAAATTTTTGTGCTGTTAGCAGGTGATCTAATTCGAGTTCCTTACATTCTATGGAAGTTATTAATATTTGTTAGGCTTACAAACAATTTTTTCTTCTTGTTAGATATTTCAAGAGAGAATGAAGATGAAGATCAGTAATATAATCATGATGAGCGATACTCAATGTGAGTTTTAACAAGTCGCTTTATCGCTCGAATTACTGCATTCGAATTTTCTTTTTAAACATCTTCTAAAAAAAGAGGAACTTCTCAATTCTGTTTTTTTGTTATATCTTTTTGTTTGTTACGCTATATCTTCGTCAATTATGAAGCAAGTTTGATGGTTCATTTTTTTAATTAATAGATGTTATAGGCTTCAGCGGCGGTCCCATATAAATAAATATGTCATTTGCCATACAAGTAAATTTGGAGATTTTTTTAAATGAAATCGGGGTTTGTTCTTCTATACAATATGTCTCGGCACGGACTTCAGAATGTGAAATAATTTTTTTTAGTTGTTTGAAGTTGGCTTTTAATTTTTATTAAACGTTTATTTTACCCTTCCGAGTGGACTAAGAATATAATATAGTAATATTGTCTATCTATATGTAATGGTATAATAATACAAAATGATATATCATTTTTATTTTGTTTTTGTTTTAATTTATTTATTTTTGTTAGAAACTCTGTCTATTCGTTGAATGTGTACACTATAGCTTGAAGAAAAAAACATTATCGTTCATAATACGACTAAGTTAAGGCGATGTTTTGTTAATAAATCAGGAGACCAAATATGGTTATTGACATTACAAATGACACACGTAACTTACGAAAACTATATTAAATAATCTATTTTAACGTTATACATAAATGAATTGTGTGATACACCCTTTCTAAAGTATAACTGATAACCTGACATCTCGCGTCAAAGAGTATACTGTATAATAAAAACAAACCGCTACATACGTTTTCTCGCGTCTCTTAAATTGACGTTAAATAATTAACTTGAGTTTATTTATAAGAAATATTATAAATTCGTGGTTTGTAATAATATTATTACTGTCATCTTTGTGGCATTCCTTCCAGTAGACTTATGAAAATAAATCCACTGCTGAACATAGGCCTCCCCCAAGGAATGCCACAAAGATGACAGCAATAATATTATTACAAACCACGAATTTATAATATTTCTTATAAATAAACTCAAGTTAATTATTTAATGCTGTAGTGATGATGATGATGATGTCATATTTATATTCATTTTATGGTTGTTTTAAAAATACTTGTTATTAAACTTCTATAGTGTAATGGTTTTGCTTATTCAGAGAAACAAGGAATAAAAACCTCTTTTGAAATAGGCTTAATAAGTCTATGTCTCACTTTAATTACAGAATGATATGGAAGAAGCGTGGATAGACCCTCCTCTGGTGCTAATCCCAATGATGCCGTGGAAGGGCAGGCCCGCGCATTGTTGCGACTCGAATCTCCATCCGTCTGAGTTTCGAAGCAGTCCTGACCGATCATCCCCACCGCTGTATGAAGTCGAACTGACAGCTTCCGATGAAGACGACGACAATTCAGTTCTTGAGTTAGTTATACCAATGCAGACTTCGCGTTACAAACGAGTGCCCACATCTTCACCAACAAAGGCTACATTTGCAGCTCCGAAGGTATTTTGCAAGATGTTTTGTTGTTTTCGTAATTAGAATCTTAGAATTTATTAGAATTTCCTATAAGTATTTTGGATATAGCATCAATGATGTATCATTGTGAAAGTTATATTTTTATTTATACTGTTTTAAATGACTCTAGCGAACCGCATTAAAATATCGTTTATCTGTGTTTTAAGATTTATAGTGAAGTTTGAAGTCTTTTAAAATCTTTATTATATAACAAAATGTATATTTACCAAAATAAAGCCGATATTTGAAATAAATAAATAGGTATTCTCTGGCGCTACATATTGTAAATAATACTGTCGATAGATTCTTAACTTGCTCCCTAGTGAATATCGCCCCGTTTATGGTGGGATTTTTTACGAACAATCGCCTAAGGAGCAAAAACTGGTTTAGCTTCTTTGTTTTCAACCGACTTCAAAAAGGAGGACGTACTCAATTCGACTGTATGTTTTTTTATGTGTGTTACTCATAACTTTTTTATTGGTGAACCGATTTCAATGACTCTTTTTTATTTGAAGGCTGGTGCTCTCATGTGGCCCCATATAAATTTCATCAAGATCTGACCAGAAGTTTTTGAGTTATACTTAATAATTTATATTGAAGTGGGTTGTTCAAAATGTTTTAAGTTTACCACTTGTATCTGCTTCTCATCGTATGTTTGTTTGAACATAAAAACAAAATCTGTGTCAGCTATATCTAAATTTTAATACAATTATTCTATTTTATATAAATTACTTCAAAATAAATTATTAAGAAAAATTAAAAACCATTAGTCAGACATTGATCAAATTGACCACGTGACAAATACCAGCTTTCAAATAAAAAAAGCATCATCGAAATCGGTTCACCCAGAAAAAAGTTGTGAGGTAACACACATAAACAACATACAGTCGAATTGAGTACCACCTCCTTTTTGAAGTCGGTAGAAAAAGTCTTTCTTTCCTAGGTTCTCTTACCCATTTCTGCCGTCAAATAGCAGTGTGTGTTTTGCTATGTCCCAGTCTAAAGCATTCTGTTCTTATTTTAAGGCATTCCATTCATATTAGTACTCAGAGGTGACAACGCGTCTATGGCTTTCTTTGGTTAAGGTTGGTTGCAGGTGGCTATAGGCTGCAGTAGTCACTTACGATCAGGTGGGCTGTATGTTAGTTTGTAATTTCCATTTTATTTAACAAAATATCTCTCCACGAAGCGAGTCTAGGGGTTGTCAAGTTCTTGAATATCTCACAAAGCGACGTATGCTAACACCAACACATTTAGCAAGCAGTGGGACTTATGTTGATGTTATATTATTGACATGTAAAATTTATTTTCATAAATCCTTTTTAACGTGTATTTAATGTTATTAAACATCCTTGGAAAATCCTGTCACATTCTTTTTAAGTATACTCTTGTGTACATTTTGATTTACATAGAATTATTTATAAGATAATGAATCATAATTTATAATTTGATTACATGATATAGATCGTGTTTGTATGTTTAGCATTTAGGTACCCCCGCCGCCCCTTTTTATTTATAAATGCTCGTATTGCGACCGTTAAATTAAAATTATGTGTGTAATGTTAAATTAAATATAGTTTAGCTTTAGATTTAGCTTATAGATTACCAGAGCAATTTGATTTGCGACATTACACAAATAAGACATGCGTGAGTGTCGTGGAACTGTTGGAACGAAGTTCCTTTCATAGTATATTATATATTATTATTGATAAACGTATTATATTATTGATTATCAAATACAAATAAATGAATTACTAGCTCTATTAAAATAAAGCGTCATAAAATAATATTTCTTTCATGGCAAGATAAGAAAAAGTGCGACGGAGATGGATATTATTCCATCTCGCTTTCTTATACTACACTATAGAAAGGGTCGTGATGGTAAAATCTTACCTGTGCCCCCTTTTCCCTGCGTCCCCTTTTCCCTAAAGGGGGTCGCTTCCGATTCAGCAGAAAGGCCATACAGGCCAATGCTAGTCCCACAGGTGGTGTTTAGTGGGTAGGCACTTCTTCAAAGTGAGTCCCACATAACCACGCAGCCGGCCGCCGTGGTATGCTACGAGCATTCACCACCTCCCTTCCCCGCTTCCGGAGGGTGCCTTGCATTGGGCGCAAAAAAAATCTTGCACTTTTTTCGCCTACCTTCCATCTGTCAAGTCCGTACCGTGCTGATTAAGAACTTCATTCCAAAAATAATGTAAGATTTTACCATTTCAATATTTCTTAACTGTCTAATTAACCGTTTGTGAAAATAGCAGGATGTTTAACCCGTTTTATTAATGTATACACTTTTAATTCATTTTCTAATTATTAATTTATAATGTAATATACAAATTAAGATAGCAAGTGAAGAAATATTATGCGGTGAAACTATCGATCACTAATAAAAAACTAGATATACAATCCCATGCAAAAGTTCTCTAAAACCGTCGCCACTTATTGTTTTGAAGTAATTCTAGCTGAAATCAATATGTATACACTAATGTAAATACAACCTTAAATGCATTGTCTAAAGTTGTATTCACAAAGCTACGTACAAATTAAAAGCGCACTCAAATGTTCGAGTGGGCGCTCATTCGGTAAGGACATTTTTTGTCACTAATTGTGTATCTAGTTTTTTTTTTATTAGTGACCGATGGGTGAAACTGAGTTAACGTTCCATTTAAATTTATTAATTTTGTTGCTAAATCCTCTATGCCAGTATTGTTGTCTTTTTGTGGGAAAGAACGATTAATTAGGTATATAGATTTAATTTATACAACCTATATATAACTTATGGAGATACATCGTATCTTATGAGTGCATTTAGATATAATATGGAGAATATATAATTATGAAATATGCTTTAAGCTTTTGCGAGATATAATTCTATTGCTATTATTTAAAAGTGTTTATTTAATGTTTATCTTAACTTCTTAAAATTAAAAATTAAATAAATCTTTTCAAAATGAATAATTATACATAAGAATACATGATTGTGTCAATTAGGTATCTTGTGCAAATTAAAAATTTTAAATGTATTTAGTATTTATGTTGTAAATCCATACGGTCTTATTCATAAAAAGAAATATTATAGATTTATAAAATATCAAAGAGTAATGAGGATTAAGGTCGCTAACCGCTTCTGATTCTGCGAAACAGTTTCGCAATAGCAACTCTCACCTCGCACTTTACTAAAACATTCCCTCGGGTGTTTCCCTCCCATAGCGTCTGTTGGTAAAAGTAAACCTTAATATTTTATTATAACATAAAAACCTCAATTAAAATTTTTTATAGTGTGGGGTGACAAACGAGCACACAGTCCACCTGATGGTAAGTGGTTGCTGTGGCCCATAGCCATCTATATTTATCCTTGTTTGCGAATCAAAATGCAGATGCGTTGCCACCCGTGAGAACTAAGATGGAATGCCTCGTTTCCAGTAAAAAGGGTCTCTGGTTCTCTACATTCACTATACGAAACACAGCAGTGTTACGCTGCTATTTGACGCTGGTATTCTGTGAGAGCGTGGTCCTTCCCCGGTCGAGCCGACCCATTTGTGCTACAACTACACTACTAATATAGCTGCAGCATTGCTCTACCACTTACAAAAAATTTTGTTAATATATCAGTTGAGATTCTTTATGTCCATTGCAGCCAATAACAGTTCACTGGTGAACATAGGACTCTCCCATAGATTGCCTCATAGGGACGATTTTGCCATAGTTGCCACACTTGGCAGGCGTGTTGTCAACCGCTGTTTTTATTTTAGTTAGTTTAGTTTAGTTATAGTATATTATTTTGAGTTGTTATCAGGAAGATGCTGCCGCCCATGTTCTGTTTTAGTTTCCCCTCTGTTGCCTCTTACGACAACCACGGGAAGATATGGGGTAGCGGATATTCTTACACCGAAGCAACATGTTATATATATATATATATATATATATATATATATATATATATATATATATATATATATCATATCTCAGGGTTATATTGTTGTATTGGAAATTGCATGAAATTATGTAACTTGAACTCTTAGTTAGCGGTATAAAGTTAAATTTATTCACAATCATCATAGCACTTATTAATATTCTCTCATTTTCAAAATAGTTAATTTTGGAATCATTTTATTGAAAATAATATGTTTTCTTTTTATACAGAGAAAACTCGCAAACTATATTTTTCGCCATAATATGAGGATTTATTTAGAAATGAGTATCTATGATGGTGAATATGCTTAAAATTGTTTCAGTTTTTAATTATGAACCTACAAAAACCTTATCTTAAATAATACTTATATTAAGATTAAAAATTATATTAAGATTAAGATAGATCATATTCAAGTTTTACGTGGTAGAGCCATGCTGCAGCTATATCAATAGTATAGTTGAAGCACGAATGGGTCGACTCGACCGGGGAAGTACCACGCTCTCACAGAATACCAGCGTAAAATAGCAGCTAATGCTGCTGTGTTTGGTATGGTGAGTGTAGAGAACCGGAGACCCTTTTCACCCGAAAAAAGGTATTCTATCTTAGTCCTCGCGGCTGACAACGCATCAGCATTTTAATTCGCAAACGAAGATAGATGCAGAAGATCTCTATGGGCCACAGCAACCACTTACTATCAGGTGGACTGTGTGCTCGTTTGTCACCCTAATTCTATGAAATAAAAAGATCATCACTTGAGAAAACGGATGGACCGATTTTAACGTGTGTCTGAGTGGGTTCTTAGATGGTTTGGATTCACAATTGGACCCCGTAGGTGGCGCTGTTGTCGAAATACAGAAATCACCCGTGCGAAGCCGGGGAGGTGGCTAGTATTACGTAAAGATCAAGAATCGAGCTTTAATTATAGAGACATTGTTAAGTAGATTTATTTAAATATATTTTTAATAATGGTTATAAGTTTATATTTTGGAAGGCTGATGTAAATTTAATTGTTGAAACGGTAGTGAAAGAAATGGAATATGAAGAAGTTTGTAATCATAATTTTATTTACAATCTAGAAAGAAGACAAAGACATAACCGCAGTGCTGATTTTTCA